GCTGCTGCTGCTGCTACTGCTGCTGCTGCTGCTGCTGCTGCTGCTGTGGTAATAATATTTACCTGAGTACATTAGCATCTTGTTGTAATTGCATTCTTATAGAATGAATAGTAGAAGGAAAAAGAGTAACAAGAACTTCTATAAAATGTGCACTATCTTCTTTCTTTATTGATCCAGCTAAGCCACGAAGACCTCTATATAATACACGAAGTCCTGTTCCTGTATATACAAATAAATTAAATATATATATATATATTATTTATTTTATTCATTTTATTAATTATTCTACAATTATTTTAATTATTATTTATTTCTCTATTTAATAAATAAAAAGAAAAAAAAAAAGGCGCATATTGAGGTGCGCATACACCCGAAATAATGCATATTTATTTTTTCTTATAATTATAACAAATAAAAAATAAATTAATTAATTAATTAATTAATTAATTATATTTATTTATTTATTTATTTATTTATTTATTTATTTATTTTCCTTGAAGCCTTAATAGATGTTTATAATATTTTCTGACAACAGTTTGTGTTTCTAAGATTGTCAATTGTCCTCTCATTAATAAGACTAATCGGTACTTTCTTGTACCATATGGTGCTGCTGCTGCTGCTGCTGCTGCTGTTGTTGCTGTTGGTGCTGCTGCTGCTGATGCTGCTGATGCTGCTGCTGGTGGTGATGCTGGTGATGCTCCTGTTTTTCCTGATGCTTGTTTTGCTGCTGTTGGTGCTGCTGCTTCTGCTGCTGCTGCTTCTCTGATAGGGGGTCGACGGGTCCGGCGCTGAGTATCGGGCACTGCTGCTGCTGCTGCTGCTGCTGCTGCTGCTGCTGCTGCAGGGTTTGTACTAGCTGCTGTTGTCCTTCCTGCTGCTGCTGCTGTAAAGGAAAGGCTGCTGCTGCCAGCAGCAAATGGGTATTTAAATCTGTATAATAAACTTCTTGTACGCCAATGGGGCAAACGATCTGCTGCTGCTGCTGCTGCTGCTGCAGTCGTTGGATTTGTTAGTGCAGCAGCAGCACAACGTCTGCTGCTGTCTTTACAACTAGCAGCAGTTGCTGCAGCAGGTGTTACACGGGGACAAGCAGCAGCAGAAGCAGCAGAAGCAGCAGAAGCAGCAACAGCAGCAGCGGGCGGAGCCCCACACCTTATAAAGGCCTCATATCTTGTCTTCTTATAGACACCCATACGGCGTTGCTGCAGCAGCACCTGTAGCTGCTGCTGTTGCTGCTGTTGCTGCTGCTGCCGGCTGCAGCGCAGCAGCAAGGATCCACCAGCAGCAAGCGACTGTCTCTGTCCCTCCTTCCTGCTGCTAAGACCAAAAGTGTCTCTTTTTGATTTATGTGTCCCCTTTTTAGCAGCAAGAGAGAGGCTATTTGCTTCTGCATGCAGCAGCAGCAGCAACAGCAGCAACAGCAGCAGCAGCAAATGCACCAGCAGCAGCAACAGATGCCGTCTGTTTGCTGGTGCTAGCCGACCCCGCCCGTTTAAAGGCGCCCCTAAACGCTCCACAAGAATCATCAACTAGGGTTTAGGGTCTAGGGTTTAGGGTTTAGTGTCTAGGGTTTAGGGTCTAGGGTTTGGGGTTTAGGTCATAACCCCAAAACCTCCATCATGGGGGCCCCCAGAGGAGCCCCGTAGGGGCCCTGCAGCCAATGTTGCTGCAGCGGCTGCTGCTGTTTCTGTTGTTGATGCTGCTGTTGCTGCTGCGTCTTGTAATCCTGCTGCTGTTGCTGCTGCCGTTGCTGCTGCTGCTGTCACGATAGTTGGTGCTGCTTCTTGCTTGTGTCATTAGCTGTCACCTCTAAGACATCGAGAAGCGCAGCAGCAATTAGCGGGGTATGCTGCATGCGTAGTATGCAGCAGCAGCATCAGCAGCAGCAGCAGCCACTGCAGGACGCGCTGCTGCTGCTGCTGCCGCTATTGCTGCTGCTGCTGCTGCCTTTGTTCTTCTAGTGTGTTAAAAGGAAAAAAATAATTTTAAGAATTAAAGTTGTGTCTTTAAGGAGGATGGGGCTGCTGTGTGGTGGTGCATGCAAGCCTGCATGCATGCAGCCGCAGCAGCTGCAGCGGCAGCAGCCAATCTTCGGTGCTGCTGCTAAGGAAATTGTTTTTATTAAGTAAATTTAGATAAAACTTCTCTTTTCCTGTTTGCTGCTCATTGGCTACTCATTAACAGCAGCAAACGCAGCAAAACAAGGAGGAAGAACAGTCGCCTGCAGCAGCTCTTTTCTAGCTGCCTAGCAGCTCCTGCTGCTACTGCTGCTGCTGCGGCAGCAGCAGCAGCGGCGGTTTCCGATGGAGGTGGATGGAATGACCGCCGAAGGCGGTCTTCCTTCAACACTCATTCGCTGCACACCCAGCAGCAGCAACGAAGGCAACAGCAGCAGCAGCAACAACAGCAACAGCAGCAGCAGCTCTGTAGATGCAATGCTGCAGTCTTTAGGTTGCCCCTATGTATGGGTCCACAGAGGATCTGGCGGTCGCATGCGGAAGGCAGCAGGAGAAGCCATTAAAGCCCTAGAAGAGGTAGCTTCTGTTGCTGCTGCTGCTGCTGCTGTTGTTGTTGTTGTTGCTGTTGCTGCTGCTGTTATTGCGGCTGCTGCAGCAGCAGCAAGATCGTGTAAACATATGTTGTTCCTTTGGCTACTGTAGCGGCTTTAGCTGCTTTCTTTAATGTTACTATCCCCGCTGCTGCTGCTGCTGCTGCTGCTGCTGCTGCTGCTGCAGGAGGGAGCAGTCTGTTTAGCAGCAGATATGAATACAGCAAGTCGATGTATTTCTGTTGGGGAGATCGCGAAGAGACAATTTGCTGCTAAAGGAGACACTATAGCCAGTCAATGCTTCTTTGCTGGTCTACAGGTAACTGCTGCTGCTGCTGCTGCTGTTGCTGCTGTTGCTGTTGCTGCTGCTGCTCATAACATTTCGTAGCAACGGTGCCAAGAGCCGCAGCAGCAGCAACTAAAACTCTCTGAACAGTAGCAGCAGCAACAATAGCAGCAGTAGCAGCAGCAAATCTACTACTACGAACAATAGCAACAGCAACAGCAGCAGCAGCAGCAGCAGCAGCAGCAGAATTGTGTGTGTGTATGCTATTAGGCTGACGGTCCGAAACGTCGTGACTCTCTCCGCCTCTTCTTGCTGCTAGGCCGCATGCAGCAGCAGCAGCAGCAGAAGCAGAAGCACTAGGAGCGCCACCACCACAACCACCGCAACCATCACGACCACCAGCAGCAGCAGCAGCAGCAACCGCAGCAGCAGCAACAGGAGACGAATAAGGCAGCCAACAAAGAAAGGAAACAAAGAGAGTCAGCGGTCTCTAAGAAACAAACGGAGACAGACAGAGACACCTGAATGTTACTGTCTCCACCTGCTGCTGCTGCTGCTGCTGCTGCTGCTGTTCTTGTTGCTGCTGCTGCTGCAATTGTTGCAATTGTTTATTGCTTATGCACGAATAATAGCAGCAGCAGCAGTAGTAGCAAACAGTGCTCTTGCTGCAGCAGCAATTGCAGCAGCAAACAGTGCACCAGCAACTTCTGTTGCTGGAGGTAACTCTTGCAGCAGCAGCAGCAGCAGCAACTGCAGCAGCAAATACTGGTGCCGTTGCTGCAGCAGCTGCTGCTGTTTTATTTTTTAATTTGTTGAAATACAGGGGCATGCTGCTGCTGCTACTACTACTACTACTTCTGCTGCTGCTGCTGCATACATGATTTATCTGCATGCATGCATGCATAGAGGCAGCAGCAGCAGCAGTTGCATGCACACCTTAGGGCCTTGGGGCCCATAGATGGGGAGTAAAGCTGCTGCTGCAGCAGCAAGCAACAGCAGCAAAAGAAGAGACACATGCATGTGTTGCATGCATGCGCAATGAATAAATAATGCTGCAGCAGAGGAAGACAACCCAAACACCACCACCGCCAGCTGTTGCTGCTGCTGCTGTTGCTGCTGGTGCTGCAGTTGCTGCAGTTGCTGCGGTCTCGTGTGTCTTTGCAGGAGACTGGCAGGGCAGTCTCTCTCCCTGCTGCTTTGCTGCAGTGCAGCAGCAGCAGAATCCTGCTGCTGCTGTTTGTTTTGCTGCTGTCTTTAATAATAATAATAATAATCAAAAGGAAGCCCCAAAACAAAGAGGGGGCATGCATGCAAATGCATGCAGTTGCATGCATATGCATGCATATGCATGCACATGCATGCAAATGAATGCAGGTGCATAAAGTATATACAGCTATAACAGCAACAGTAGCACGATGCTAAAAATCAATCATCCTTCCCTCCTGCTGCTGTAGCTGCTGTTGCTGCTGCTGCTGCTGCTGTTGCTGCTGTTGCTGCTGCGACGAAAAAGACGGGGTTCCCAGCCAAAAAACAAACGGGCGGGAAAAGCAGTGGGGAGCAGCAGCACCTGTCGGGTCCTGCTGCTGCTCCACTTGCTGCTGCTGCAGCAGATCCTTCTGCTGCTGCACTTGCTGTTGCTGCAGCACATCCTGCTGCTGCTATTGTTATATATGTACGAGCACTGCTGCACCAGCAGACAGGGTTTTGCTGCTGCTGCTGCTGCAGCTCACGGTGCTCTTTCTTGTTGCCTCACAGAGCGAGCTGCTGCTGCACCTCGCCCTGCTGCTGCTGCTGCTGCTTTTGCTGCTGGAGTTAGTGCAGTGTCTTGACAGACCCAGCAGCAGCAGCAGCAGCAGCAGCAGAGACACAAGGTTCTGGTGTGTCATCTACTAAAGGGTCAGTAGAAGGAGACAGCAAACTCTGCAGCAGCAGCTGCTGCTGCGGCGAAGAAGGAGAGGAGTCGGAGGGGCGGGACAGAGGAGACGCAATCTGCAACACGTGCTGCTGCAGCTGCTGCAGCTGCTGCAGCTGTTGCTGCTGCTGCTGCTGTAGCGGTTCAAAAGGTGCTGCTGCGCCTTCAGCCCTCAAAAGTCGCTGCTGCGTGTGTTCCATCGGAACAGCAGAAGCAGCAGCTGCAGCTGCTGCTGCAGTAGCAGCTGCTGCTGCTGCAGCTGCAGCAGCAGCAGCAGCAGCACTGTTATCTAATGCATGACTTTCTGCACCATTAGTTGGCCGCTGCTGCAGTTGCTGCTTTAGCTGCTGTGGTGCTTCCTTTGTGAATGCTGCTGCAGGTGCAACGATTTGCTGCTGTTGCTGCAGGTGCAGCGGTTGCAGCGGATGATGTGCTTGGTGCTGCAGTGGCTGCTGCTGCTGCTGCTGCTGCTGCAGGTGTAGCTGCAAAGCACTGCTAAAAGCTGCACCATTTGCTGCATCAAGATGCTCCCACGGGCTTTGCTGCATTTGTTCAGGCAGCTGCATGCAGAGGCCTTCTAATAGGCATTTGCTTCGTTCCAGCGGGACCGGCTGCTGCTGCTGCTGCTGCTGCTGTTGCTGCTGCTGCTGCTGTAGTTCAGAAGCAGGCAGCAACAGAGGAGACAAAGGGACCGGGGGAATGCATTTGTCGCTGATTCCTTCGGCAGACCCCGGCTTCACACATAGCATATCCACCCCTTGCTGCTGCTGTTGCTGCTGTTGCTGCTGTTGCTGCTGCTGCTGCAGTGCAAGCAGCAAGGAAGAACTTGGAGATGCGGGTGCTGGGACCTTCGGGGAGTAAAAAGGAGGAAATAAAGTGTGGCCGTTGGTGCTGCTGCCGTTACAGTTACTGCCGTTGCTAGGTGCCTTGCTGCTGCAGCAGGCGTTGCTGCTGGTGGTTGTTGTGCTGCTGCTGGTGCTGTTGCTGCCTGCTGCAGTTGGGCTAGCTGTAGGTGTAGATACCTCCCTCTGTGTCAGGAAAAGCTGCAGCAAATGCTGCAGCGCCGCTTGGCTCTTAAAAAGCTCCTCCAAGTTAGGAAGCTGTGGCTGCCGTTGCTGCTGCTGTTGCTGCTGCTGCTGTTGCTGCAGTTGCTGCTGCAGCTGTTGCTGCAACTGCTGTTGCAGAAGCTGCTGCTGCTGCACTTCCTGTCGGTGCAAATGAGGGCCACTGGCCTTCCATGATTGCTGCATCGCTAGCTGCTGCTGCAGTTGCTGCTGCTGCAGCCTGTCTTCTGCTGCTTCTGAGCAGCTGCCTCTTAGCAGCTCCCGTGTCTCTGGCTGCAGCGGTGCAGCAGGAGAGGGCTTCCAATTCAAAGCAGCAGCAGCAGCAGCAGCAACTGTGTCATCTGGCTGCTGCTCCTGGGCACCTTGCCCCAAGAAGCGAGAGTTGAGGTACACTCCTGTCTCCTGCTGCAGTTGCTGCGATTGCTGCTGCTGCTGCTGCACCTCCCTGAATTCCAGTGCCTTTAGGAGGTCACTGGTCCAGTCAGAAAAGTGGTTATCTTGCTGCTGCTGCTGCTCCTGCTGCTGCCTTTGCTGCTGCAGTGGTTGCTGCAGGAGCTGTTGATGGGGCTGCTGCAGGGGCTGCTGCAGATGGCATTGCGGCTGCTGCTGCTGCTGCTGCTGCAGCCCGAGTGACCTGAAGATGTCACCTGGCCATTCAGCGACTTGCTGCGGCTGCATCTGTTGCTGCAGTCGTTGCTGCAGATGCTGTTGCAGCTGTTGTTGCAGCTGCTGCTGCATGTGCTGCTGCAGCTGTTGCTGCAGCAGCGCAGCATCGGATGCTTTTTGTGAAGCGGCTTTTTGCCCGATTGCTTTGAGGCACCCTAAGGAGACAGCTGCTTGCTGCTGCATGCCTGCTGCTGCTGCTGCTGCTGCATTAGAGGCAGCAGCAGCTGCTGCCTTCGAGCGAGGGACCTGTTTAGGAGACAGCAGAGACAAAGGAGCAGCAGGAAGAGACAGCTGCCGCAGCAGCTCTGCACCTCCCCCGTATTCGTGTAGCTGCAGGTTATCTAGACTCTCCTGGTTCTGCTGCTGCTGCTGCTCGTGTTGTTGCTGCTGCTGTTTTTGCTGCTGCCGCTGCTCCACACCAGTGGCGGCTATTGCTGCTGCTGCTGCTGCTGCTGCTGCATTTGTCCTAGAGGAAGCATGAAAGAATGTACAGTTTGCTGCAGCAGAAATATTTGTCTTATGATCTAACCCTCCACGTGATGCTTCCCCTCCCCCAGCAGCAGCAGCAGCAGCAGCAGCAGCAGTAACAGTAAGCTGCGGTCGTGCTGTTGCTGCCGTACTACCAGATTCTGTCCCTGTAGTGGATCCTGTTCCAGCTGCAGCAGGTGCAGCAGAAGCAGCAGCAGCAGCAGCAGCAGCAGCATCAGTAGGTCCTCTTTTTTTCCTTCTAAAGCTGCGGTGATGTCTTAACTCTTCTATGCCATGAGCATGACGACAACCTTCTCCTGCTGTACATCGACCCTTCTTGTATCCATGGCATAAGTTGCTGCAGCACAACAGCAGCAGCAACAGAAGCAGCAGCAGCAGCAGCAGCAGCAGCAGCAGCATGAATTGCCAGCAAGAGTAGTAGTAATAGTATTAGTACTACAATAGGAGAAAGAAAAAAAAAAAGAGACAAAAAAAGAAACAGAAGAGGATTAGAGCACGGCAGCAGCATTTGTAACAGTAGCAGCAGCAGCAGCATATATAACAGCAGCAACAGCAGCAGCAGCATCTTTACCAACAACAGCAAGACCAGGAGCAGCAGCAGCAGCAGCAAGAGAGTGAGGGAGGAGTAATATAAATACAAGCATAAATATACATGCAAATACAAATAAATACAAATACAATACAAATAAATATAAATATACATAAATAAATATATATAAGTAAATACAAACAAATACAAAAAAAGATAAAGAAAAATAAATAAATAAATATAAATAAATAAATAAATAAAGAAAGAAAAGAATTACGTTGTATATAGAGAGGAAGAGTATTAACAACATGTGCATATATGCACATGTAGTATATAATTACGTATATTGTATACATCATATACATGCATAAAAAAGTATAAATAATAGATAAAAATAAGCAGAAAAAAGAAATATAAATAAGTAAATAAAGATGAATAGATGTATCTAACTAAATAAGGAAAAGAATTACGTTTTATACACAGAAAGTGTATGTTTATATATTTCATCAACAGCATCATATATATATATATATATATATATATATA